TTACAGGGGAGTTTTGATTTCACAAGATGATAGACACCAGGAGCCCAGAGTCAGTGCAGTGACAACTCCTTAGAACTGGCTTGTGTGAAATTATTGTAACAATTACCTTTCTTCTGGTGGCCAGGGACATCAGGCTGGGAGACAGGGGCCTGTGGGGAAGAAAAGACCTGGACCCAAGGTGCCCTCCAGGAGAAAGTTGTCCTGTGACTATYCCTGGGGCTCTGCCCTTGAGTCAGGAGGCTTCACGGCCTCACTGACATCTTTCCGATTCCTCGGTCCCAGGGCCTCCACTCTAGCTTTACCTGTTGTCTCCTGGCCACCTGGGCCTGCCCTGGCCCAAGACCCGCCAGATGCGCTCTACCGGTGCCATCAAATCTCCTCCAAGCCTTGGAGCCAGGTTTGCTCTGGTGTTGCAGGTCAGGAGCGGGCACAGTGGGCACCGAACCAGATCTTGTGGGCACTGAAGCAACTCCGCCCCCCACAGCACCCAGGGGATGGGGTGGGGTGGAGGAGTGGCTCCAGAACTGGACTGGCGGGCCTTGGAGGAGGGGTATCTCCTGGTGGATGCCTGGGCCRCCGGGGGTCCCCACGTTGCTCAAGTTGGAGGCCTAACCTGCTGATCCCCTCGGCAGAGGCCGCTCGGCGCCTCTCCACTTCCGCCAACCTTGAGAGGGCACGGCGAGCAGGCGGGATATTGGGGACGCACGTACCTGGGCTGGGGCCAGCTGCAGGAGCACGGCGAACAGCAGGCGGCGGAGCAGGGGGCGCATGGTGCCCGCGGGGGCCACGCGCCGGGGGCGCCCGCATTGCCCTAGCCCGGCGGCGCAGGGGGCGGCGGCAGCCAGAGCCCCATGGCGCGGGCCCGGGCGCGGCGGGCGGGGGCCGGGCGCGGGGGGCGGCTCCTCCGCGGCCCCCTCCCGAGCCCTGGGCGCAGGCAGCGCAGCGCAGCGCAGCGGCGGCGGCCGGAGGAGCCGGGCGGGCGGGCGGCCGGTGGCGGCGGCGGGCGGCGGCGGCGGGCGCGGCGGGGGCGGCGGGGGGCCGAGCCCGGGCTCGCGGGCGGGCGGCTCATGTGACCCAGACACGCGCTCCCCACCGGGCCGTGGGGCGGGGGCGGGGGGGGCGAGGCGCCGACGGGGCCCGCCCCCTCCACACACCCCCTCCCGCCGCTTCAGGGGAAAGGGGACGTGCCGCCCAGGGGGCCGGCCTCCCTTGGTCGCCGCCGCCGCCAGAACCCACTGGGCGGGGCGCTGCCCCAGCGCGAGGCCCGGGCGGGGGGCGCTGGGCTTGAAGGAGCGAGCGGGACAGGAGCTCTAAGAATCACTTTATTGCACGCGTCGTGGGGAGTGCGGAGTGTGGGGCAGGGCGCAAGGAGGGAATACAGTACAGGTCCCATCTAGGTGAGCCCCTCAGGGGCCGGTGCTGGGAGGCATAATCCCTGGACCTTGGGGATGCCCAGAGGGTAGGGGCTGCTGCTGCCTTTGCCGGCGCTCCTGCTGGAGCCTGGCTCTGTTGGCCCTGAAGGAGAGAGCACCTGAGAGTTAGGGTCAGGGATCCAGGACAGTAGTATAAGGACAGGAAACAGAGGCAGGATAGAGCAGGGACAGACCTGGCCCTGGCCCGCGTGTCGTTGTAGATGGCTGTGATGATCCGATCCTTCTCATCCATGAAGCTCCGGTGTATCTGCTCCAACTTCCTGCAAGACCTTTGGTGTTAACCCTGATACTCCAGTTCCTGCAGTTCCTGAAGCCTCCTCCACCCTGTTCCAGGATCTCTCTGTTTTACATCTGTAGGAACCTTGCCCCAACAGTGCCTGTGATAGGTGGGGAGAGGGACACAGAGTGGCAGAGGCCCATCCAGGATGCAATGGCACCCAAGTCTCTGTCCTGCTGAAAGTGGTGAAGCAGCTCCGAACACAGGGATGCTCTTCCCAGGAGCCTAGAAAGGTTCAACTCCTCCTCTGAACTAGGCAGGCTGCTGGAGGTGGACAGGGGGCCTTAAGGCATCTTTTTAATAGAAAAATCCATGTCAAGGCATGCATGAGAGAGTGGAAGGGAGACGACAGCTGCCAAATGAAGACAGTCGCTGGTGAGGCTGTTACAAAGCATTTGCTTCTCATGCCTGATTTTGGTTGGCTCCAGCCCTCCTGGCAGCCAGCATCAAAGATTTATATTCAAATTATGAAAAACTGAAAATGACAACATTAGCCCGTCATGCAGTGCTGCCTTTATGAAGTAAGGGAAGGCTCCAAAGACTGACTTCATGAAATGCTTAGTGTGGGAGACAAGCACACAGGACATAGGGTGCAGTAGCTGGCTCGCTAACTAGAGTGGCTTCACCACCCTCCTACCCCCTGCCCATCACCCTGGGGAGGACAAGGATGCACCTGAAAGCAGCATAGTGCAGGCCCATACCAGCCAGCATGAGCAGGAGGCAGTACCCCAGGACCCGCTGATTGTGTTTGTACTGCTGCTGCCTCGTCTGGGGCYCCTGTGGCCTTACATCATGAAACTGGGCCCAGTATTGTGCATTGKGAGGTTCCCAGGAGCTGCTTGAAGACAAAGGAAGGAACAATGTGAAGATAAGGCTTTCCAGGAGACTTGGGAGTGTGGGCAAGCAGGGGCAGGACCCCTGTACCTCTGTGTTTGTTGGGCAGACTTGGGATGGGCTGTGGTCCCTGGAGATTTGGGGGGGCTAGCTGAACGGAGCTGGTGGTCATAGCTGCGGCGGGTCTGCTCACGGCTGAGCACATGATATGCCTCATTCAGCTCCACAAAACGGCTGTGCAGGGCTGGGTTCCCAGGGTCTCGGTCAGGATGCAGCTAGAGGTAAGGCAGGACTCCCCTTATCTCCCTTTCTGTGACCCTTCCCACTTCCCATCCTGATGATCCACAAGGGCTCACATCAATCCCAGGGACCCTCTTTTGTAATAACCCTCCAGAAGACCCGCCCTTCCAGAAGGCAAAAAAGTCAAGAAGCCCAGACTCCAGCCCTCTTTCCTCATTTAAGCCCTCTACACCTGCCATCCTCCTTTCCAAATACCCTGGTGCAGGTTTCTCAAGAGCAGACAGTAAGCTCATCAGGCTCATTGATGTCTTGTGCCCCCAGCTTTGCTTCCTACCTGGGCAGATCCTTGAGTATAGCACCCACCCTCTAGGCAGGCTGAAGGAATGGGGTTCCAGTCAGAGACACAGGCCTACTCTTAGGAAGTTGGGTGACCCCCTATTTGGCTCAGACTTCCACTTCCTCTCTCCCCACCTTGGGAGCACTAGTACCTCTTTGGACTTGGTAAAGAAAGCTCGTTTAACTTCTTCAGCGCTGGCACCAGGATGCACGCCCAATAGTTCATAATAATTCCTGGGGCCAGACCTGTGGATAGAGGCCCAAACTGGTACCCTGCCTTGCCATCCCAGCCTCCCTGGACCACACCCTTCAACTCAGTCACTAGGAAGGAGCTGAGGAGAGCTCAGGAAGTTCCCAAGACAGTTCTGTCCTCAGACCATCTCTCCTTTTCGGAGTGTTTCAGGGATGGTCTGAATCAGGATTCTAAGTGTAGTCCTCAGATCCTTGCATCACAAACACTTTGAACGTTTATTTAAAACAGATTCCCAAGCCGGGCATGGTGGCACATGCCTGCCATCCCAGTTAGAAACATGAGGCAAGAGGATCACTGGAGCCCAGGAGTTAAAAGCCAGTCTGAGCAACATAGGACGACCCCCTCTCAAAAAACGACAAAGGTGCTTCTGAAGACCCATCTCATTCCTCCAGGATGGAACCTCCAAAACAGGGCCCAGGAATCTGCATCTTTGTACCCAACTTCCCCACTTCTTGTGAGTTATGCTTGACTACCAGTGGAGTTATGGAAAGAGTATTGGGGTTTTGTTGGGCTCAAATTTCTGATCTCCCATTTAACTCGCTGATGACCTTGAGGGTCATCTCAGTCTCAGATGAGATTCTCAATGTCCTCAACATGAAAGTGAGGGTTAAGACAAGACTGCAAGGTACCTATCTCAGCAAGCAAAGAAGCGCCTAAGCTGGGCAGGCCCTCAATAGAAACCCGCTGAACAACCGGGGGCCCCAGGAGCCCAACTCACCGCTGCCCAGAGGCCGCTGCGACGAGCCGGGTGGGAGGGCTGCGGGGCCACAGCCGGCAGAGGCGCAGGGGCAACAGGGGCAGCATGGCGGCTGGCGRACAGCTGGGGAAAGGAGACCAGCAAGAGGGGTGCATTGAGACCAGATCCGATCAGATATCAAACTCTTCGCGGCTGGGGCAGAGCGAAGGAGCCTGGCCAGGGGTTTCTTGCAAAAGAAGATCGAGGCAGGCCCAGGGGCGGCCTCCTACCTCGGGATCAGTCCCCCATGTCTGGACCCGGCCCTGTCTCCAGGTCTTTCCAGGTTATGGCTTACAGGTCTGGACCCCCGGAACCACCCAGAGTGATTGAAGGAGGTTGAGGGAGGAACCACAACCAAGTCCCGCCCTCACTCCACTTACGAACTCCGCAGTCGCCGCCATTTCCTGCGCCTCCGCGGGTCCCGCCCCCGAGCTCTCATTGGCTTAGACTCAGACCACGCCCACTTTACCGGAAGGTGCGAGTATGTGGCTAAACCCCGCCCCCGGCCCCTAGACCAGCTTTGTGCAGCCCGAGCCGTTTAGCAGAGGTCCCCGGAGCTGCCGAAATGCGCGGGCCTCCAGTCCCGGGAGGCAGGAGCGGCTGAGCCCGACCCTCAACGAGCCTTTTGGCCCAGCCGCAGCCCTTCGGTGCCGCGGAGATGGCTTTGGTCTGCTCAGCAGCGAGGCACTTTTACAGAGCTGCTTCCACCCCGCGTTGTCTTGGCATGGGAGGCACGTCTCTAATCCCCACTTGCAGGGGGAGAAAACTGAGGCCGAGCTGATGTGTTTTTGTGTTTGTTTTTGTCTTTTCCTTTTCTATGACGCGTTCGGTCTCACCCACCCAGGGTTCTCCCAGCGAACCCTGTCATGGAAACAGCGAATGCCAATGGAATCCAAGAATAAAGTTCTTTATTGTCTTCAGAGCTGTGATGACAGTCCCCCAGGGCTGGGACTCTACATTGACTCAGGTGGGACTTCCCCGAACTCGGTTGTAGAGGAGGATGGCGCCTTTGGCTGAGGGGCAGAGCTCAGCCCACATCTCCGTCTCCTGCAATCTCTGCACTCTCTGTGGGGAAGACAGTGAGACCCACACATCTAGCCCTTGTCTCCTGTTGGGGTTGAGCCTCAGAGCCCTCTGCACAGCACTGTTTATAGGGAGACATGTTAAGAGGACTTAACATGTCCCTGGGCCTTTCCCTTTGGTAGGAGAGTCTCTTTTTGTGACTTTGGAATAAACCCGGGAGTCTCCTGTACCAGCCAGTCCCACCCACCAGACATGCATCACCAGATTTCTTTGCAGGCCCTAACCCAATAGTCCAAGCAAGATGCAGAAAGTTACCCCGCACCTGTGTCTCCACAAAGATGATTCCTGTAGACTCSTGGGCCTCAGGTCCCCCACTCAGATAGTAGTTCCTCACTTCCTCAGAAGTCAGGCTGCACCTGGGCAAGGACATGAGGATAGTTTGGGGAGCAGCTCAGTCCTGTAGAATCCCTATGGAACCCCAACTGTCACATCCCCAATGCTTTCCACCCATCTTCCCCAGGATTCAAGATCCTGTGTCCCAGAGCCCACTCACTGGACATAGAACTCGGCACTGGCACGGCCGGCGCTGGTCTCATTTCGGGCAATGCCCAACAGCAGGGGTTGGCTCAGGGTGAGCAGCGGCAGATTCACCTGGGGCAGGGGGTCCCACCTGTCAATGTCCACTGTCCATATCCTTGCCCCTCTCCATAGAGAACTGCCTGTTACCCTTGTACAATATTTTATGGTTCATAGAACAAGTGTCCTGGATCACAGAATATTAGATCTTGAGCTGCTAATTTTACAGATGGGAAAATCAGAAGCAAAGAGAAATCTCTTCACTCAAGGGAATTTAGTAACTGAGACTCCCATTTACTCCTTTTTGAATCAACAAAATTGTTTCCACTGGAAAGAGGAAGAACTTGAGGCCTAGGGAACTAACAACTAGAATTCCATTTTGATGATGCCCAGCTCCCTCAATACCTGCAGACCTTCCCTTCAACCCAGACCTATGGAATTCTAGCAGTTTCTACCCACTTCCTTCATGTCATCATGAAGGAAGGGGCAACGCTCCTCACTCACCTCATCACAGATCTCTTGTAGGACACTGGAGAAGAGCTCACGTACCACCAGTTCCCCCGGAAGGTCCTTGTGCTGGGGGCTGTCACCAGGGCACAGAGCCTGTGAGAAGTCAGGCTCAGCCTCTGCTCTTCATCCTCTTCCCACCCTGTCTTCCCACTTGCTGGCCCCGAGGGCCTGGGTGGACACAGTGTAAGAGTCTTAGTGATCCCCAGGCCCTTCGTTTTCCAGATGGACAACCAGAGGTCCAATTTAGGAATAGGTTATACAGGGGGTTGGGTTGGGTGAAGCATCTTCCTCTGCCCATTCTCCCCCCCCCCCATGTTTCCTGGCCTCCCCACAGGACAGTTGCAGATTGGGAATGTGAGAGGGTTGTGGGCAACAGAGGTGGATAGTTACTCCTGGGGGAGCCCTCTGAGAAGGTGCYGCAGCAGGGGTGACTCAGTTAAACACTAGGCCAATTTTCCCTTTAAGGTATGAAGAAAACAGAAGGAAAGGCTTAGCACTCCAGCTCCCCTGAGCTGTCTGGGATTTTTTGCATTTGTACCCAGCCTGGCACCTCACCTGAGGCTCAGGGTGCCCACCAGGGACATCCACCATCCCAGGGGCCTCGGCCACCTGCCAAGAGCGCCGCAGGAAGACAAGGAAGTCATCAGCTGTGATTAGTGCGGCACCCACCCCCAGTGGGTCTGCCAGATAGGCTTGCTTGTCACCCCAATCCATGGCTCCCTGCTGTTGCAGCCAGGAGGCTGAGCTGGCCCAATTGGTGCCCAGGAAATCTTGGTAGGAAGTAAGGCCCAGGCGCAGAAGCAGCTGTGGACCAGGAGAGTCAGTGGATGCCAGTGTAGCTGAATGCAGGCGGAACTTGGGGGCATTGAAGAGCCAGGGTTGGGCCTGTAGCCGGGCTTCCCAGATGGCAGCGATGGTCTTGTCCCCTCCTGGTAGTGGGCGACGGTCATGGGCTGGGCTCAGCTCCACTCCTACATGGTCCTGGGGCAGCCCCCCAGGAGGGCACTGAAGCAGCAGGGATACCTCAGGATCCATGGCCTGGACAAGGCAGCTATGGGGGAGGACACAGGTAGGCCTGTCACCCGTGGGATGGAGGCAGGGTGGGATCCCTGGCCCAAGCATCTGGCCTCCTCCGACACATATCATCTTGGGATACCACCAACCTCGCTGAACCTCCCTGGCCTTGCCTTGGGTAGTTGGAGTCCTATCATCCAGGCAAGAGTCCTGAGCCCGCTGGGTGCCCACGTCTCCTGCTGCCAGAAATCCCTAAGACTCTTGGGCATCTCTATCACCCAAAGGTTTTGGGTCCCCCAAGGCTCAAGTCCCCAATCCCAGAGGGCCTGTCTCCAACCCCTGACGCGCGAGGACCCCTCCCAAGTCCGGAACCTCCAGCCTCACCAGCGCTAGTAACTTACCGGCCGGCTGGGCCCGCAGGCTCCGCCCCTTTCCCCCGAAGCGGAAGTGCCCGCCCCTTTATTCCAAGGCTTCTCATTGGCGGGTCCTGGGCCCGTGGGGTCCGCAGCCGGCCGCCGGTCTCCGAGGGTGAGCGCGTCCGAGGCTCCGGTGCGCACGACCTTTCCCGGAGTCGGTCGCCACGCCCGCCCCTCCTCCCCGGCCGCCTTGCCCGCACAGCGACGGGCCAGCGATGGGCCTGGGCCCCGAGGCTGCAGTGTGACCGTGGGCAAGTMTCGCCAGCCTGGCCCCAGCTCCCTGCGTGCACCGGGGGGTTTGATGCTGGGAAGCGCCTCGCAGCTCTCCTGCTGGGAGCCTTTGTGACTTTCTGGGCAGAGAGGGGACATGGGAGGGTCCTTAAAGCAGCTCCACATGTCACTGTTCCCCCACAGTTTCTGACCATGAACTCTTCTGGAGGAAGGAGGCAGGAAGCAGCAAGGCCCACGGGTAGAAAGGCTCACAGACCCCGGGAGCAGGTGTGCCCCTCCCCGCCCTCCAGTGGGAGGACAGGGGAAAGGACTCTGACCCCTGGTGGGGTGTGKGGGGGGGACTGATGAATCCCAGACACCAAAAGGGGGACACCAAAGGGACTCCGCTCCCTTTGGTGTTCCTCTGCCGCAGGTTGTTCAGGGTTCAGGGTGGGCTGCAGGGCGGGGTCGCTACTGAGATCCAGACCACCATTGGGCTCTTTCAGGACCCAGATGTGCAACTGTCCAAGGCTCTGTCATACGCCTTGCGCCACGGGGCCCTGAAGCTGGGCCTTCCCATGGGGGCTGGTAAGTGAGGGTCTTAAAAGCTAGGGGAGGAGTGGCTGGAGCCCAGGGAGCAGTGGGAGGCACCACAGCCCCAGGGGAAGGTACAGGAGGCACATCCTTCCTATGTGCAAGAAGGCCAGAGTGGAGTCCGGTATCTTGTCCCCTGGGAAAGGAGCCCTTGTCTGAGCCAAGCCTGAGTACATCCCATCCAGCCAAGTGGCTCAATACACACCTATCCCAAGAGTGGGCACCTATCCCCTCAAGGTAAAAGAATCAGAAACCTAGAAAAGAGAGACTTTCTAGAGGTCATGTGACCTCTAGGCCCAGCCTCTGCTCTAGATTCCCGTGGCTCCCCCTGTTAACTGTGGCCCTGGCCAGGACAAGGGCAGCTCCTGAGCACCTCTCTGCCTTCAGATGGCTTTGTACCCCTGGACACCCTTCTGCAGCTGCCCCAGTTCCACAGCTTCTCCACTGAAGATGTGCAGCGTGTGGTGAACACCAACAGGAAGCAGCGCTTCACTCTGCGGCCAGGAGATCCCAGAACTGGCCCCCTCATCCGAGCCAACCAGGGCCACTCCCTGCAGGTGGGTGTCAAGGGGACAGGTGGGAGAGCCAGATGGGACCCCTGTCAATGAAAAGGATCTCACTGCTGCCCATTCAACCACACATCCCAGGTACCCGAGTTGGAGCTGATGCCTCTGGAGACGCCACAAGCTCTGCCTCTGGTACTAGTACATGGTACATTCTGGAAGCACTGGCCATCCATCCTGCTCAAGGGCCTGTCATGCCAGGGAAGGACACACATCCACTTGGCTCCAGGACTGCCTGGAGACCCTGGCGTCATCAGTGGTCAGTGCCCCCCTCCACCTACCTGTTCCTACCCACTCTGTCCTTCTAGGTCCCCTTCAAGTTCACAGCTTCCCTTGTCCAAGGCTGCCCTCTCCCTTGCATGGAACAGAACCCCTTCCCACCCCTCATCATAGGACATCAGTCTGTCCAGATTTGTTGTCCCAGCCCCAACTGACCCTATAGGCATGCGCCCAAATTGTGAAGTGGCTGTGTTCATCAATGGACCGCTGGCCCTGTCAGGTGAGTATAGAAGCAGCAGGGACTACCCTAGGCCTTTCTTTGAGGGATAAAACATGGGTCACATCTCTAGTTCTGCCACCAGATGGAATCTCCTTCTTCCGCTCTGCTAACGGGGTGATCTTGACTCCAGGGAATGCTGATGGCTTCCTGCTTCCCAAGTACTTCAAGGAGGCCCTGCAGCTGCGCCCCACCCGTGAGAACTGCCTCCTCCACCAATATTCTGGAGCTGTGCCCTTTGCCTGTACCCCTTTCCCAGCCCCCGAACCCAGACTGACTTCGATCTCCCCTTTCTCTAAGCATGGCTGCTCTCTATTGCAGGAAAGCCTCTCTCCTTGGCTGGTGATAAAGAGACAAAGTAGCAGAGTGGCCCCAAGCACAGCCTGAGAGGAAGGAGGATGATCCAACAATAAAATATTTATTTATTTAAAAAACTCTAAAAAAGTATCAAGAAACTCTAGTTTGAAACCAAGATTCTGTGTCTTTTAGCTATATCTGGTCTTCCTCGTGTGCTCAGGGACTCAGATAGGTCAAGGTTGTTGGCCTAGGCCACTTGGACAAGGGAAGRTACTGTGGGTCGGGCCCACCATCCCTTGCCTGGGTGAGGGCCCAGCCAGGGCTCTGGTCTACCGTGATAGCAGGTGAACATACCCAGCTTGGTGTGTGCCTGGAGAGGGTGTGGGACAAGTCCCTGTGGGTGTGGCCTGGGAGTGGCTGTGGCAGGTGGTGAGAAGAGCAGGGGCAGTCAGGCTGTCCTTAGAAGGCCTCATGGCCCCCCGTGAGCTGCAGGAAGAGGTCCTCGTCCAGCTCCTCCCCACGCGCCCGCTCACGAGTTGACAGGAAAATGTAGCCCCCAATGTACTCATGCACAATGCGGCAGCTGGCGGACACACAGCTGAAGGCCACGTTGATGTGCTCGTCAAACTCGATGGCCACCTGCAGGGCAGGTAGTCAGAGGGGTCAGTGGGTAGGTGGGATAACGGAGACAGCCCCGGCTCTGTCCTGATCAGGTTTGCTGCAGTGCTTGTCCCCTGTCCCTACACTCACTCTGAGCCTACCTGCTGGATGTCCCAGTTGACATTCCACTGGCGCATGTTGCTGAAGCGCCAGGTCTTGACCACATCRCCCACAGCCAGGTCAATTCGGATCAGTCGGTTGTTGGCAATGCCTAGGATCTCATCTCTCCTGCTGCCCTTGAACCTGACCCCAGGGCGAGAGGGTGTGAGCAAGGACTCCCCCCTGCACAGCCCAGAGCCCACCCAGACAGCACACCAGAGGAAGACCGCTGAGTTTACATCCCAGCTCTGGCCCGCCAGCTGGGCCACCTGAAAGTCATTTGGGTCTGTGCCTCCAGCTCCTCACCGGGAAAGTGGGGGACAGAGTCACAGAAACAGCACTTAGAGCACCAGGCAAGTAGCCAATGCCTTTAAATCTTATTTTTGTCGTRTCATTGTCACCGTCATTCATTGTCTCGCTTATATCTTTGCACGTTTGGGAAATGAAGAATCAAGGGGCCAAGTTCCTGAGACGCACCCAGTGTCAGCCTTGTCCTGCAGGACAGCTGACCAAGGCCCAGCGGGGAACGGGGCTGTGGCGGAGCTGGGGCAGACACTGGGTCCGGCTCTCTTGGCCTGAGCTCTGTCCGTTGTATTTGCCAGTGTACACAGTGGGGGAGGGGACGCAATCCCTCCAATCAGGTCTACCCACAGAGCAGGGGAAGGTGACTGGGACCCACTTGGGCTAGCACAAGCAGCAGCAGGCAGCAGGTGAGGACAYAGGTGACACAGCCTACCTAACCAACACGTAGGAGATGCCAAAATCAGGCAGGGACTGCCAGGCCTGGATGAAGCGCAGCAGGGCCTCGGTCAGCGAGAGCTGGGCCACGTTCTGGTGGGCCTCCAGGATCCTCGGGGTGAGCTGTGGGGTCATACTGGTGAGGGACCAGGAAGGGTTTCCCTGCTCTAAAGACCCGGAGACCCCTACCTGCCTGTCAGGGAGACCGAATGCTGAGCCTGAGAAGGGACAGTGTCTATTGTGGGGCCACCAAAGTGCCGTGTCTCACCACTCAGCACATATGGGCTGAACAAGCCTGGAGGAGGACACTGACAACAGGACTCCTGGGGACACAGCGGGAGAGGAGCAGTGTGTGTGTGGCTTTCTTGAGGAGGCCTCCCGGAGGTCAGGTGGCCAGGTGAACTTCATTCCCACCCTCCTTCCCCGGCACCTGCTTGGCCTTGAACTTTCGCTGGAAGCGGGRAGCAACAAGTCCATAGGGGTTGAGGCCCTCGGCAGAGGTGTCGGGCCCCTGGGGCTGGTTGCCCGAGCCCCCGCCGCCTGCCCGCTGCAGGCTGAGGAAGGCCAGGATGGCCTGCACCTCGCTGGCGTAGCTGCTGTCCGCCATGGTGCGGCCCTTGGAGGCCAGTCGGCAGCCGGCCATCCAGTGGGCATACTGCTGCTCCTGGAACGAGGAGGACAGGGGACGATGGGGGCCAGTGAAGCTCTGGACATCTACCTGTCCTGAATGCCACTTCAGTGCCAGCCCAAGCCCCTGCCTGGTCCCTGGTCCCAGCCCCCTCCAGCTTCAGCCCCACTCACATCCTGGCACCGTAGGTAGATCTCACTCATGCCCTCAGGGGAGGGCACTAGGAGCTTGATACAGAACTTCTGACCTGAGACATTGACATCGGGGACCACCTCACAGCCTGCAGGGAGAAGAAAGGGTAGGCTGGGACGCCTGGGACCGGAAGCCTGCCCGAGAGGTCCCCGTGTGGAAAGGTTGCCCTCCACGGCCACCACAGGGCAGAGGGCACCTTCGCTGGTGTCCAGGAGGGACTGATGCTCAGCCTGCGGGTGGCCCCTCCCRCCCCTGCACCAGCCCCCTCACCCTTGAGGTTGAGCTGCTGAATGGGGTCCCCCGGGGCCTCATCCTGGCTCTTGTAGTAGGACAGCGTGGTCTCCTTGAACACCACCCAGTGCTGGCGGTAGCCCTTCAGGGTCAGCTTCCGGGGCCTGAGGGTGTGTGGGCGGTTTGTGAGGGCGGCCTCCCTCCCAGCTCCCTCTCCAGGTGGCTCCTGACTTACCGGAAGATTCGGAGATAATCCTTGAGTTCTGGGATTGTGGTGAGGCTGTCCTGGGGAGGTCAGGAGTCAGAGGGGATCCCCGGCTCCCAGCCCTTGTCCCTGACCCCGGCCCCAGCCCCAGCCCCTCCTTACCAGCACGTCCGTGGGCGCCGAGCCCTCCAGCTTCACCTCCAGGTTGCTCAGGGCTGCGTCCAGGTCATCCAGCCCCTGGTCTGCACTGGGCAGTTCACCCACCTCCCCACTCTGGGACAGCTTGTTGATGTGGTACTGGGGGCACAGGCGAGGGGGACCTGAGTYCAGCTGCCAGCAGTGCCCGGCCAGGGCTTCCTGCTAGGTGGGCCCCATGCTGGGAGGCCTTTCCTGCCTGGGGACTGGCCTGCACCCTGCCCACCCTGAGGTCCCCAGGCACCTGCAGGGCTGCAAACACCATCATCTCCTCCTCGGTGCAGTCGATCTCCTCCAGCAGCAGGTCCCAGCGAGCCTGCTCGTACAGCTGGGTCAGCCGCACCGGGTCGGCCTGCACAGGGAAGGAGGGGAGGCTGGGCGAGTCAGACGCCCGCTGTCCCAAAGGCCTGTGGCCCTGCCCTCCCCACTGTGCCTGACATGGGTAGCTGACTGCAAACCCACCCTGCCAGCCTGCCATGCTGGTGCTGCCCAGGCAGTGCCACAGGTCTCTGCCGCAGCGAGGCTCACCCTGTGCCAGCGCACAGCTGAGGCAGGGAAGGGAGGAGGCCGGTCCAGGAGCAGAGAAAGTGGTGGGAGAGGGCTGCCTCCAGCAGCTCCCCACCCAGCTCAGGGCCACTGACTCCCATGGTGAAGAGAGAAGGGAAAGGCTTCCCTGGGAGGGGACCTGATGAGGGGGACCCTGGGCCACTGGAGAGAAGGGTGATGGTGACGGAAGAGGACGCCCTTGGGAGGGAAGCGGGAGGCCAAGGCGTAAAAGGTCCCAGTTACCCACAGAGGTGCCTTCTGATGCTCTCTCAAAACTGACACCAAGAAAGGCACACCCAAAAGGACAAGAGAGGGGACAGGAGCAGGTGGGAAATGTCAACGAAATCTGGAAGGGGGACTGGGGCACAGGAGAGACCCTGGGCCTTCACACCCTTTCTCCTCTCCTGCTCTTCAGTGAGGCCACTAGAGAATAGCAAGAAATGGCAGGAAGTGCCCAGATCTGGCTAAGACATGGCGCCACACAGCAGGACCAAGGACAGGCTCCCACTYGGATCCTCTGGGGGAAAGGCCAGAAGGGACTGGGGTGGGGAGCTCCAGGGAGCAGGTCCCACCCAGCTCCCTGCAGCCAGGGGATAGCACACAGAGGCTCTGCAGGGTGATGAGTTGGGAGGAAGTTGGCCTACCCTTCCCCACTCACCACCCAAGACAGCTGTGAACTTTCTAACCCCAACCAAAAGAGGAAACAGGCCAAAGGGGAAAACTTCAGAGCAGCAGCCCCACTCCATCATCCCAGGAAGCCACCAAAAAGACACTGGTACTCACACATGCTACTACGCACAGATGCAGGGCTCCCAACTGGCTTTTTTTTTTTTTTTTTTTTTTTTTGGTATAGGGGACTGAACGCAGGGGTCCTTAACCTCTGAGCCATATCTCCAGCCCTTTTTGTTTATTTTGAGACAGATTCTCACTAAGTTGCTTAGGGCCTTGCTAAGTTGCTAAGGCTGGCTTTGAACTTTTTGATCCTCCTGCCTCAGCCTCCCAAGTCACTGGGATTACAGGCATGTGCCACCATGCCTGGCTTATGTTGCCCACCTTTAAGGAAAGCAACTGGCCTGAAAACAGACACCAAGAAGAACGGGGGTGGGGTGGGGGGAAGGCTGGGAGGAAATAAAGACCAGGTAGGGAGCAAAAGAAAACTTAAATACTTATGAAAATCCTTATACAGATAAATACCACACACACTCATAACACAAGACCAGGAATATAAAATTACAGTGATTAAGATTGTGCTGCATTGGTAAACAGAAACAAATTGACCAATGGAACTGACAAAAGTTAGACTCGAACATACATGTTCACCTAACTTAGGGCAAGGGTGGCCCTGCAGTTCACTAAGGAGATGACACTCTTGTCATTAAGTGGCACTAGGCCAAGTGATGCTCATATGTTAAAAAAAAAAAAAAAAGTATTTGGACCCTTATCTCATACCACATCTAAATATCAATTCTAGGTAGATTRCAGATCTAAATATGAAAGATAAGAGTGTGGTGCACCCACTTGTAGTCCCAGTGCTTGGAAGCTGAGGCAGGAGAATCACTTGAGCCCAGGAGTCTGAGACCAGCCTGGGCAACACAGTGAGACCCTGTTTTTAAAAACAAAATAAGAACCAGGCATGGTGGTGCACATCTGTAATCCCCAAAATTTAGAAGGCTGAGGCAGG